CAACAATATGTATGGGTTTTTGCCTAATGTCCCTTTGAGAATTTTTCACTCATATTGGGATGCCACCAGTATTGCTGATGGAAAGGCTGTACTCGGCACTTATGGCCATTGAGCACTTGGGAATCTTTTTTTTTTCATGCCAACACCTTCTGTTACACTGGGCTTCTGTTTATACGGTCTCATCAAAGCACCAGTCTCCATGTCCCACAGTGGGATTTGAACCAGTAATATGAGGATTGTCTCTTTACTCCAGAACTATTGGAGTATCAAGGTCTAACCACTGCACCACATAGGCAACCCAACAATATGTACTTACACGCAAAGCATAACGTAATTTTGATCTCACCATCCTTATTAATGTAACCCTAACAGGGAGGTGACAATAAATACATGCATTTATTTCAACTGGTGATGTATGTGCTGATGGATGTGTACCGTGAGGGTAGGTGCATATTGTCACTGAAGACAAAATCCTACTTCCCAAATTGGTACATTTATTGATAGCTTCATTTTTCTAATTTAAAAGATGGTTTTAGTTCACATTTGTTTGCCAGAAAAAAAAAAAAGATAAGCACCTTGAGTTAATGTTGTGATGCCATGGGTCACTTGTTTATAGCATTAAAAGGGTTTTGATAGCTCACCTGAGCCAAAAGCTCAAGTGAGCTTCCTTCCTTGATCAAAGTTTGCCCATCATTTGTAGTCTATAGACTTCTCAAATATCAGTGTCAGTTTCAACCAAACTTGAGCACAAGAGACAAAAATTTAGCTTTATTCAAATAAAGTATTTCTTGTTTATTCGCGAAAGTTTTGCGCTATATCGAGAAAGATACGCATTTATTAGTGATTTGACGTTTCCATACAATGTGAAAAAAATAAATTTTGTACCTACAAAAATGTGCTCATTGGGCTTTCGTACATTTGAACAATTTTCAATCTCCCCTTTTTTTGAAAGAGAGAGAGTTTTATATTTGAGATTTTTTCTTTCTTTTTTAGCTCACCTGAGCTGAAAGCTCAAGTGAGCTTTTCTGTTCACCCATTGTCTGTCGTCAATCTGTCTTGTCTGTAAACTTTTCACATTTTCAACTTCTTCTCAAGAACCACTGAGCCAATTTTAACCAAACTTGGTACAAATCATTCTTAGGGTAAGGAGAGTTTAAATTATTAAAATGAAGGGCCAAGCTCCTTCCGAAGGGGAGATAATCAAGAAAAGACAAAATAGGGTGGGGTTATTAAAAAATCTTCTTCTCAAGAACCACTGGGCCAGAAAAGCTGAAACTTAAGTGGAAGCATCCTGGGGTAGTGTAAATTCTAAATTGTTCAAATCATGACCCCTGGTGGTAGGGCGGGGCCACAATAGGGAATCCAAGTTTTACATTGAAATATGTAGAAAAATCTTTCAAAAACTTCTCAAGAACCACTGGGCCATTAAAGCTGAAACTTATGTGAAAGCATCCTGGGGTAGTGTAAATTCTAAATTGTTCAAATCATGACCCCCGGGGGTAGGGCGGGGCCACAATAGGGAATCCAAGTTTGTCATTAAAACATGTAGAAAAAATCTTTTAAAATCTTCCTTTCAAGAACCACTGGGCCAGAAAGGCTGAAACTTATGTGGAAGCATCCTGGGGTAGTGTAGATTCTAAATGTTTAAATCATGACACCCCCCCCCCCCCCGGGGTAGGGCAGGGCCACAATAGGGAATCCAAGATTTACATTGAAATATGTAGTAAAAATCTTTAAAAATCTTCTTCTCAAGAACCACTGAGCCAGAAAAGCTGAAACATATGTGGAAGCAGATTCTAAATTGTTCAAATCATGACACCCCCCCCCCCCCGGGGGGTAGGGCGGGGCCACAATAGGGAATCCAAGTTTTACATTGAAATATGTAGAAAAAATCTTTAAAAATCTTCTTCTCAAGAACCACTGGGCCAGAAAAGCTGAAACTTATGTGGAAGCATCCTCGGGTAGTGTAGATTCTAACTGTTTAAATCATAACCCCTGGGGGTAGGGTGGGGCCACAATAAGTACTACAAGGGGGAAATCAGGTGAAAAACAGCAAGGCCAAAGTTACTCAGGTGAGCGTTTTGGCCCATGGGGCTCTTGTTTTGTGTGTGTGTGTGGGGTTTTTTTTTTTTCCTGGTTATGAACCCCCTCCTCCCTCATACTATATAGGAAAAGTTCCTCGATCCGCTCTTCACATTGTATATTGTCTGTAGTAATTTGTGTTTTATGAGTTTAAGCATCGTCTTAAGCCACGGTCCGGAGTCTGCATATAGCTCTCTCCTAGAATGGGAGAGGATCGTACATTTTGGCCGTGGTTGCGACAATGATGTTTTAGTTGCACACCAGGACCCTGATTCATAAATTATATTCCATTCTATAGAAACAGATACTGAAATCATTGCCCCTGGACTGCAACACTTTTTAGGGAATACGTATATGAAGTGGTAGACCTGCTCGACACATTCTACCTATTACCACCCACTGGCCAATAAATTCAAGCTTTATGCTTGTATTACGCAAAAGCAGATGAATCTCATCGGGAAAACAAAAATTATAATACCTCGTTCTAACGAGAGAAAAATTCTGTTTTTACGAGAACAGATCTCCAAATACTAAACGTGAACAGAATTCGTTATAGCGAGAAAAGATCTCGTATTTAAGGGAGCCGACTGGGGTTTTATTGTGTGAAAACTACTATATAGAAACTCTTTAATTTCATACCATATGTATTCAGTATACATGCCAAGTTTAGTGAAAATCTACCGTCTGGTTATTTTTTAGGGACCATCTCAAAATACAGGTACATTTACTATATAGGATTATTAATATATATAGGAGAATACCATTTTTTCGCACTTCGGAGCAAAGTATACAAATGCTACTATAGGCTTTTTGCTCAAATTATATTATTTGATGGGTAATACATTGTACATTTTGTGAAGAAACACAAAATTCTACCATCTGGTTTCCAGAGGGGGCATCTCAAAATGTCAAAATTCATGATATTTTACTGTTTTTATGGAGTACAACAAAACATGACAGATACCACAGATTTACATAAAAAATAATAAAAATGATTGTGAGATTCTCAATTTCCTATGTTTAAAATTTCAAGAGCATCTATTTTATACTTTTTATTTTATGACATAATTAATGACCCCGCTTAAAGAACTTCAGTTATTCATAACGTCAAAAACACACAATTACGACGTCTATCTACCCATTATTTGAAAAATTGTTTTAAAAAAGTTATTTAAAAATGTAATTAGATTTTTTAACCTGAGATTTCGTAAATTTGTTAATTTATATAAATTATATATATATATTAAAAAAGTTGCTTTAAAAGAGTAAATACGCTTTATTTTACTATGCTGCGTGAAGTATTGCGCAATGAAAACCCCAGTCGGCCCTCTTAAGAGAGAAATTAAGAGAAAATTATCTCGTAATCAGAAATGATCATGTTATAATGAAAAAGATGTCCTTATTAGTAGTATGAGAAAATATTTCATATTTATGATAAAAGATATCGTAATTAAGAAAATTTACATGAAAATATCTCGTCATTACGAGAAACGATCCTATTATTTTGGAGAAGAAAAAAAATCTCGTAAAAGATATATGGTTATTACGAGATTAACTTTTCGTTATATTGTCTTTAAAATTGTATCAGTAGATACGCACATTTTACTAGTGTACTTATAAGGAAAAGTATTAACTCGTCATAACGAAATCTTCTCTGATAATTGCTATACGAGATCTTCTTTTTTGTAATGACGAGATCATTTTCTCGTTCAAAAATAAGATCTTTTTTCGTTAAAAAACAAAGTCTTTTCCCTTTAAACCGGGATATCTGCTCGTTATAATGCAGGCACATATTCGTTTTTGAAAAGGGGGTGACAGTAAGAGAAAAAAAATGACAACATACCTGAAAAAAACTTTGACAAGCAAAAAAAAAAAAAAAAAAGTGGGGAGGATAGGGATACTAAGGTTCAACTTTTTTTACAACCAAATTTTAATAATATATTACCCTGCATCTTCGCTAGCCAAGGGTTTTCGGTCCGCTCTGCTTCCCATTTATGGGGAGAGCGGACCGAAAACCCTTGGCTAGCGAAGATGATTACCCTGATTAAACTGTACTGTATCAAGGGGGGTGGGCCTTTTCAATAAACATTTTCAACAGTGAAAAGTTATCTTTGGAAAAAAGTGCCCCCCCCCCCCGATACTATGTGCGTGTAATAAGATCTTTCCTCGTTATATTGAGATCTTTTCCGATATATATAATGAGATATTTTCTCATATTTACGAGATCTTTTCTTGTATTAACGAGATGATTTTTTCGTTAGAAATAGATTTTTTTTTTTTAAATAATGGGATTTTTTTCTCGTTATTATGAGATCTTTCCTTGCAATAGCGATATATTTTCTCGTAATTCCGAGATTTTTTTTTCGATTTTTTTTCTCTAATAATAAGATAATATTGGCCGTTAATTCTTTTTTATGCGATTCTCCTCGGATTTCGTTAGATATATAACTTGAACTTTTTGGGGGGGGGGGGGTCTGTAATAATATGAGCATTTTAATTTCACAAAGATACAAGGTAGCACTTACACCCCCCCCCCCCAATATACACTTATCTTCTCCAGTCTCTAAAACAAAGAGATTAAAACTATTCTTTATACTTTATATATATTTTTTTTGATTAGGTGTTCCGTGTGAGCTAAACATATTTCTCTTTTCCACGAAAGTTAGTATATGTTACATCTAACATAATCAGTGAAGCGTATTATGACTCGTAAGTTTCAGATAATCTCACGGCATATTTATTTTCACAGGATATTCAATGAATTAACGGCAAGACATCAAAGCACCTCCACTCTGAAAAACACCTTCTCAAAACCAGCTTCCTCGTTTTCCGATGTAAACATGCCCCGCCCCTTTTGCCAAATACAGACAGATGAACTCCACTGGCACCCCATCGAGGGCACACGAATGATAGTTCCCCCAACATCCATCACTTGTCGAGCTGATAGCAGAAAATTCGGTTTGGTAGGGTGATCCTCTTTGGCAGTCATGGATACTTACCAACAGTATCCGTCCCAAATGTTGATGAATTGGGGAGTTTATTTGACTGACCAAGGAGCCATGCAAGGGGGGCAGGGTGTCTACTCTGATCCTTGGTCCAACCCCGTTTCGACAGTAAACACGGTCAACACCGTTACATCTCTTCTGAAGAATGGCCAAACTATATTTGGCCAGGATTGGAATACAGTACCCATCAACGGCTATAATACTGTAAGTGGTAATTTTATTGTTTTCCTATTTTTTTTATTGTCGTTCAAACATTTTAGAATGTGAAGAATGTTTAGAATCCAAGAGGCAATAGATACAAATTGCAAAGGAAGAAGTATGACAGATAAGATCAGAATTATAGTGGGAGAGGGATACCCCGCTGGTGATCCCCTGTGAGGAGTTTAGTGAATGATATCGAGTTTCCGAGTCAAACCTCTTTGAATGTTTATATCAGAAATAGCGCAGCTAGATACTCAGCATGAAATCGAAATGGTAAAAGCTCACCCCAACTGCGAGTCTCTGTTGCAAATTGGAACACATAAATCCTAAAGGATAAGGAATTCATGCAATGTTGTATTAAATTACAAGAATGTATAAATGTTGCGTTTTTGACACCAGTAACCAACCTGTCAAATGTTTATTTTTTTTCAGCACCCCTATACAGCCGCTCTGCCAGCAGCCGGTTACGATAACATTAACGAGTTGGCGGATCAGTTCTGTGAGCTGTCGCTATCCGTAACTGACAGAAAACCCAATAAACGTCCACCCAGCACCTACCTCTGCCATCTCTGTTTTACCAAAGGTCACTTCATAAGAGACTGCCCTCAGGTGAGCTAAACCGACATTGATATCTGAAGAACCCCATTATCAATATTTTGGAGAAAATTGAAAATTTTGGTTTTATTTGGTTGTCTGTAAAAAGATGAGTTTTAAACCAAAGACACCCCCCTCAAGAAAGAAAATCACTCGAAATATAACCAGATGGAAGGTAATGTTTCACTCTGGGAACATCTACGTACTTCAACAAAGAATTGGTCAAGAAGCCATAATACATAGTATTATAGAAGGCTTGAAATGTCAAATAACCCCAATTGCAGGCAACAGGTCATCCAACTGTTTTAGTAAATGTATACATTCCATGATAAAGCAGGTGCTTTGATGTTTATATCGATATGAATGTTTTTGAGCTGGTATGAATCAGGAGCTGCCATGTTTTTCCCATCACAGCAGCGTGTGTGTATATAACACACATGTCCTATCAGCTGTTTGTGTGCCTTATCACTGGTACCGAAATAGAGCTGTACCTCTCTCCTAGTGCAGTGTTACCTTCATCATATACTGTACAGTACCTATCATCACATTGTTATCTGATGCTCAACATCAGCATCACGTTTTTTGATGCACAAAGCGATGAAATATTTTATGTGCATGTAAATAGCCTGAAAAAACTATTTTTTAAGTGTTAATAGTTAAGGAATCCAAGTTAAAGAGGAATTCTTGAGTTTTCTGGGGTCCATAATGCTGTGGTATTTTAGTGTACCAGTATCAACCTGATCACTTAAAATGATGAAAAATCAATGAATTAAGAGAGAAATGACCAAGATTATGAAGCTCCTCTATTGTGATACTGTTAACTGAAATCATCCACCATTTCTAGATAAATTGAATATGCATAAAAATGTAGTTGGATGGGTGGGTTTTGAGGGGGAAGGGGGCGGGGGTGATATTTGGAAGGGTATGCAATTATAAATGTTAAATTGTTACATATTGTTGGAACAACCCAAAACATATTGCATGAAAGAAATACGTTAAATTGTATGCTGATCCAAACTGAAGATGAAAATCGATCATTTTCTTATTAAATGTAGTAAATTTAAAAAAAGAAAAAGAGCAACTATTTTACTTTACCTCATCTAAGGTAAAACAATTTACTTATTTGCCCGATAAAAAAAATTATCATGGCTATCAAATTGTTAAGAATGGGATATATTAAACTCTCTTTTGATTCTGACAAAAGGCATTGCCTTAAGTTACTATTTTGAGCATTTGAACCATATCATAATGAATTGTATAAATGTATCCCCCCTTTTTTTATGTCTGTTCCTTTCATTCATGCAACTCTTTCTCTCTTGTATTTATGTATATTTTAATATACCTGTATATGAACTTATAAGAGTATATACACTGTATTTTCATGTTGTCTCTTGAGGGCCTTTAATTGGTAAATAAACAAATTGCATGTAGAGCATAGCTAAGAAATCTTGGTTCCATGGTTAATATGAATATATATTTATATCAGGTGTTTCTAAGGTGTGTATTTCTGTATGTATTACTTTTGGAATAATAACACAATAAATAGAAATACTGTATATGAGCAAGGTACCTATTATTGTGTAATACTGTATATAAGTGTGCCCCAAGAACTATTGTGATTCAAATGATCCATGGTATAAGTGTTCATCAAATATGTTTTCTTCCAAAACATATGCTTTTATCATTATACTCAAAGCATTCCAGTTTTCAGGAAGAGGATTTTGAGGGCTTTATGCACCTTTCAACACAAATTGTTTGTATGGATGGAGTATTTAATGGATTAATATGGCATCAATGAGCAAATCAAAAATCTTCTGTATCTGATGGCTTTGTGGTCTCCAGGGCTAAGAATATAAGCTAAGAATATAGACCACTTATATATCTATTTCTTTTTTTCCCCAATACCCTAGCTATCTTGCATATATTTAGAGTAAATACAGTATGATGATGTGCAGCATACAACATGCAATTTTCTCAATTTTGTGATAGACACTTAATCATAAGAACTTATTTTTTTAAAAAAAATTAACAGAGAAATTAATACAGAAATTATGTGTGCACAGGCCAGACCAAAAGGGGAAGGACTGACACCCTACCAAGGAAAGAAGAGATGTTTTGGCGAGTACAAGTGTCCTAAATGTAAGAGGAAGTGGATGAGTGGCAATAGCTGGGCCAACACAGGACAGTCATGTATCAAATGTAACATCATGGTGTACCCACACAAACAGGTAGGCATCCATAACTCGGTGTAAAGAAGCCATGTAGTGACTCAAAAGTAAAATGTATAAAACACTTACAACATATGGGATGAAATGATTAATGTTTTAGATGACTCATATGTTGAATAGTAGAGATTTAGATTTGTTTTAAGTGTGGGGATATTTACATTGGGAAAGTTAGCAGTTACTGTGTTCCTAACCCCTGTCTATCTTGTTCCTTTTCCAGCGACCCCTGGATATGCCTGATGGACTGGACGTTTCTGACCAAAGCAAGGTCCACCCTCAGCATCTTTGTGAGAAATGCAAGAGCTTGGGGTTCTACTGTAGGAGAACTACATAAAAATCATGTGCTTTCGATCTCCTCTAAACTTCTTTTCTCATAGTTAAATGTACCCATTAAAGTATTAATATATTTCTGTAATGTTTGAAGATTACCAAGCCTATGCATAGATGTTGTCTTCTTAGTAATAGTGTGTTATGTTTTAAAGGTAATCCCCCCCCCCCCATAATTTTTCAAAAATTTACTTTTTTATAGCTGATATTTACATTGATAGAAATACCAATTTAAAAGAAGGACACATGAAACAAAAAGTGTCAGTCATCTTCTAAAAAAAAAAAAACTGAAATACCGGGTATTAAAGTGAAAAAAAAAATTGAAAAAATACTTTTGAAAAAAAGTAATTAAATAATGATTTTTATGATTTTCCTTGTTTTCTCATGTTATGTTCCATTTAAAAATAATCCATATAGTCATGACTATACTAATAGTAAAAATCCCATTAAAGGGAGGCAACCTCTGTCAATGTCATTGTTTGTGAAAGATTTTTGTAAGTTGAGTATATATATATGCATAGTTTTTACTGGTATACCTTTTTGACATAAATGTTTAGAATCAGGATACAAAAGTGTCTGATTAAGATGAAGTGAAGAAATTGATTCAACTGTCATATCAAATTATCAACACCAGATGGTTTGTAAAAATTGCATACCATGAGCATTATATGTTCTTATTTGATGATTAATTTGTTATTTGAAAATGTCTTAGCATATTCAATGTATTTTGAAAAAAAATCAAACTTCATAAATTTCTCTTGAAGAAGAACTTGAATAATGTGACTGAATTTACTATGTGTACCGTAAGTTTTGGAAGATAAGACGATACTTTTTGTGTTTTGAATTTGTTACAGTATACATCAACTCTTTGATATTTTGTACACTTTTTTTTTCTACTTCATTTTGCAATTTAAAGCAAAACCCATTTTTCCACCATTAAAATTTACATCCCAATTCAAGGCAACATATGACATAGTAACAAACTTTTGATGCACTATATGCTATTTCAAAGATGAGATCTGGGATTTTGCACATTCCTGAAGCACATGACCCCATATAAAAAGAAAATATGTAAATGTATAACATTTACATTTAAATCTGATTAGTATGGTCAGAAAATACAAGATTCATAGTGAAGATGCTTCCAAAGGCAGCTGAAACTTGGTAAACTGTGCATCATATATCCATCTTTTGTGATGAAACCAAGTGTCTGGCTGTTTATGATGATTTACAAATGTAAAGCATATAATAAAATTTGAAGGGTTAACAGTACTGTGCGTAAATTTACTAGGTGTTTTTTTTTTAATAAATTTACTGGGTCAGTAGTTTAGGAAACCAAAGTGTTATATGTGATATAGTGAAGGACATGTATGTAAATTTGGGATCTTAACATGGTATTTCAGCTATATATATTAGGAAGACAAGATTGATTTGTATATGATAGAGGATCTGCTTTCTAAACACCAGAGCTATTTGTATATATTTGCTGTGGGTTTTATAGTTTTTATTTGAGGTTTCATATACTTTAAACATTTCCATTGTTGTGGTTTATTTGTGTATGGTGTAGATAATGTAATATATTATTTAAGTTTCTTTATTTAGTTATGTGTAGTTTTTTTTTCATATTTCATCTTTTTACTTTTACCAAAGGAAGAGAATGTGATGATATGTATATAAATTGAAGTAATTGTGAGTGTCTCTCTAAGTCAAAGCAGGGAATTGTAAGCCCAGAGACAGTGTCCTATCGTGCCAAACAAGATGTACTTATCATTTTCAATTTCTGCATGCTATTTGTTGTGAATTCATTGCCATTAAAAATGTCAAATTTTTATACTTTTCTGCAGATTTTTGGAAGTGCATTTGCAAACATACATAAACCCCACTTATTGAATACCTTTGATGAAGAAAAACTAATCCTAATTTTCATCTTTTACTTCTGAGAATAAGAAGATGCTCATGTTGATGTTGCAAACAAAATATAAAAAATAGAGTATTTCCTAATTGGGACTAGTGAGTATTGTACTGAGATCAGTCTTGCATTGTGTCTGCTGTCAACTTGAACACATTTGACATACTTTCACTGGATCCTTGGCCTTGTGTGCCTAAAACAAATTATAAAATGCCATTTAAATCAAAATCTACATTAAAATTAAATTGCTTGAGTCAGGAAAGCTGTACAAGGTGTTGGTTATATGATATATTTGACATTTACAATAATTAACTATTCAGATAAAGTGACTCAAGTCCTAATTGCTATTTCAGAAACTACATAAATCAGCCCCAACAAGATTATGTGCAGAATGGTAAAACTATCTAAGGTAACAAAATTAATTATCATATTTCACAAAGTAGATGCCCCTTATGAAAATTTGTAAAAACCACCATTTACATTTTTTTTTTTTTGTAAAACATAATTACAAAAATGTATATTAGACTACTTGATATCTTTAGTGAATCTTGTGGCAAAATGAAATCTGGTAATCATAAATGTACAGGCAAATTCCCGACTTGGCATCTATAAATAAATCCCAATTTGCCATTTATTCTAGATGCCTGACATGATTGCTCTTTTAATCTTATTTTAAATTTTATTTTTATTTTAGCTTGCCTGAGTCAAAGGCTTGCCAGCTTTTTTGATAAATCCTATCCTGATTTCGTCTTACATATGCAGTTTTCTAAATGTGACCTTGACCTTAACAAAATGACCTAGGTAAAAGAAAATGACACATCCTCTAGGGGTGAAGGGATACTTGCGGTTATTTTCAATATGATACATTTTGATAGAGGGAAACAAATTGAAAGTTATTTTGGTTTTTTTCCCACAAAAAACAGTATCAAATGTGCAAATTGACTAAAAGAAATTGATAAGAATGAATTGTATGAAAATGATTATGCTACAAACTATTTATTCTTAAAAATCATGTTTTTTTTTTAAATTTAATCAAGCTGTATAGTGTGTTTTAATGAATGCCAAACTTGACTGAAAAAATGATCCCTACCAAAAAATGTGGAGATTTTGTACTGTGTTAGTCTGTGTATCAAACTGACAAAAAAATACTGAGGTGAATTGATACCAATATTTTTCTATTAGAAAGTTATGGACCAGACTTGCATTTGTTTTTGGCCAGTGACCTTGAACTTGCCAGAATGACCTTGGTTCAATGTTAAGACATACCTCAGCTCACAAGTTATTTTTGGTTGAAGCATCAACTTCCAACACTTATCCATTATATAGTTATGAACTGGAAAAATATTTCATGTTTTCTGCCAGTAACCTTCAACTAGCCAGAATGATTTTGAGTCAAGGACTTGCACCTTCAGGACATGTGTAATGTTTGTGTGAAGTATGAATTACAAATGTTTTTCCATTAGTAAGCTATACATTTTTTTCTGCTCGTGACCTTGAACTTGCCAAAAAGACCTTGGATCAAGATCAGGATTCACCGTTAAGTTGTAAGCAAACTTTTTGACAAGTACCAATTTCCAAGTAGCCTTCATTAAAGAGTTATGAACCAGACACAATTAATACAGTTTCTCCGACACTGACCTTGAACTTGCCGAAACAACCTTGGGTGAAGGTCAGTGCATGCCCTCAGATCATAAGCAAGCTTGTGATAAGCATGAGCTTCTAATTTCTCCATTACAAGATATGGACAGGAATTAAACATGTTTTAAAAAGGAGACCTTGAACTTGATCAAATGATCTTGGGTCAAGGTCATAACAGACAATTTTTTCTGCCAGTGATCTTGAATTTGCCAGAATGACCTTTGGTTAAGGTCATGACACACCTTCATGTTATAAACAATCTTTGTACCTAGTATGAGTTTATGGTGTTTCTCTGTTACAAAGTTATGGCCTCTATACATGGTTGCATGGACAGAAGGACAGGCAGACTGACAAGGTGATTCCCCCCCCCCCCACCCAAATTTTAACAAGTATTAAAAAGATTACCCTGGAGTCAAAAATGTCTTCAACATAATTTTTACAATAAGTCAAGAGCCTCATTCAAGGTCATTAAGACAAGCTCTGTAGGACGGACAGGATATACACAAAGCAACCTTGTAAATAAGGGGTTGAAAAACAAACGAAGATTCATGGGATTCAACCAAAGCGTCAGGTACCATATTTCATAACTTCTCATGACTGGTATTTATTTAGTGTAAAACTGAACATGACATAAATTCCTAGCTTTAAATGGTTTTACTTTCTCTTACTGTATAATCTCTGATATTTTATTTCAAAATTACAAACCTCATTGGTCAGGATCCATGGTAGTACACATAAAAGAATTTTTCTCATTTATAAAGTAGGAGACTGGAGGAGTTGCTGTAGACTTCTTCTTTCGTATTGTAAATCTCTTTTTCAAATATCTTGATTTCTCAAACTTTTCTACAAACTGACTGGAAGAAAAATGAAGCATTTCTATCAGAATAAGTGTCAGGACACATGCAATTCTTTGGTACTTGTTAATATTTGCAAGAATCTGACATATCCACCTTTCCTTGATTAAATTAAGGTGTCACTTTGCTTCTTACAATCCTTGACTGTCCCCATTACTTAATGAATATACCAGGCATTTTAACAATAATAACTATATATTAGATAGGTATAGGTCATATTTTTCTGTGGGAACCCGTATAAAAACATAAACCTTTTATATTTTAAAAGTATATTTTTGGCAAACAAGAATTTAATCCTCATAAAAAATTAGTTATGTTTAATTTTAGAAATCTAAATTTATTTCCATTTCAAAGATCTCAAGGTTGCTTTACCAAATTCATTTGAACTCCAAAAGGGACCTGCTGACCAGTGATATGTCATTCTCACAATTTTTCTTACTCTTAAGATCTTCTAAAATAGTTATTTTTTACTATCAGACAATAAAAGAATATTTCTAAAACCTTGCTGAAATAGGAGGCCTTTTCATTTGTAAGCACATTCTGACTGGCATCTCAGCAAAATCCACATCAGTTTGGAAGTCAATAAAAGCCTCTGATTCTGTTGAGAATTTAATTCCTGATTTAAGTTCCTTGGAGTCAATTTGAAGGGATCCTTCTACAACCAGTGCCCCACTGTTACAGAATGGATAACATCAAGCAACGTAAGAATAATAAAAAAAAAAATCAAAAATAAGTGTACATAAAGAGAAAAGGGTTTATACAGAAGGATATCTTAATAGAGAACTTACCTGTTAGTGATGACTGAATGAGAGTTTTTGTACCATAAACTAATGCTGATACTTCCTGATAGATCGATGGAAGCCACCCCCAAAACACTGGCATCAACAATCAATCCATTGGATAGATGTATCTTATGGGAATAGTCTTGTAGAAGTAAATTTCCCTGAAATGAAGTCGTCTTCTCATAACTAAAAAATTGTGCAATTTATTTTGTAATATTAATCTTGAAAGTAGCAGATATATGCAAAATAAAAATACATATCTAAGAACCACACTTTGTATCGAATTAGAACTACAATGTATATGCAATTTACACAAAACACATTACTTCCTGCTTTAAATGCATGATGCATGTAACTTTTTTCCTACAAAAATGAAAGCATTCATATTGCCTCATCATGTTAACAATGAGACATAAGTGTACCTGGAGAGCAGAGACTGGTTCTGAAGGGGCATTCCACACGGCTGACATTAGTCCACTCATCCCTCGGAAGAACTCTACAGGGCGGAGTAGAACATCCATCATGGTTAGAGACAGCCCAGCTGTAGCCTCGGCAGATTCCTCTCCCTCCGCTGCATCCCCTACCAGGGCTTCTATCCCCTCAGCATATATCCCGAACTAAATGTTTCAAATAAATAAATGCAGGTGAAGTAGATATATACATTCATTTGCAAATACATTTTTGGTGAAACAGTTATTGATTCAAATTTTCAGAGGACAATGCTGAAGAATACATTACTGTTAATAGTGGTTGTGTTGCCAGTTTGTTTAAAACATTAACAACCATTGCACTTTTCTTCATGACTCCTGTCTTTGTATTTTCCTGGTATAATCCGTAAGTACAGTTTGTCCCAGCAGCCACTAAAGTTCAAGAATGCCACATTAGATAGTATACTGTATATTTTTCATGCATAAAGAAAAAATCCAATCTTTAAAATATCAATACCAAAAATGGGGGTTAATACCATAACAGGAAGTAAAAAGCCGAGAGAATATATTGTAGATACATCTAAATGAAATACAGTCAAACCTCATTATCTCAAACTTGTTGGGACCAAGAAAAACCTTCGAGATATCCCAGGATTCAAAATCTCGAAGGTAAAATACCAAAATAATAAGTGGTTAGGACTTTCAAATTGGTTCATCATATCCATAGTATTCGAGATATCAGTGTTTGAGATATCGAAGTTCAACTGTAGTTCACATCAAATATTCTGACCTGCAAGATATCCAGTGAATGCACTTGATTTTCCTTTTTGGGCAAAGAGATTGTAATTATTTACTCTAGGATCAGCAAGCACTGCACTTAATCTTGACCTATGAATAAGAAAGATTAATAATCTATCTGGATTTTTATCAACAAACATATTAATGATAATATAAAAGAAAAGAACTACTCATATTTCACGACTTTATTTTTCTTTTTATAAAATTTCTATTTATAGTTTTACCTGAAAATTGGATCTGATTCTGACAGGTCTTGCAGTCTCTTAATTAGGTAAGTTGAAACTTCAAATTCTGTTTGATCATACATTGCTGATAACACAATATTACACAATTCTCCTGTTGAAAGTCCATTTTGTAGAAGAATTTCAAGAGCAGCAATTCTAACACTTGAATCATAATTTCTTTTATTCTG